TAGATAAGTAGTGGTAAATCATAGTAGATGTTGAAAACCGTGTCCATTATTTTGTAGACAAGGCCTGACTGCTCGGTTTATTTCTCTTTTTCTGTCTTAAAAACTCTATTTCCTATTTACTATTTTCAATTTGAGGTCAGGTCTGGTGTATACGAAACAAATGACTATATGATAATTTCAAGGCCTACCTAGGAAGCTCTGTGTTTTCTGAAATAACTAAGATTTGGGAGTGTCAATGTGTGACATATGATACATTTTTTTAAAAGTTTGATTCATCTGTGCAAAAATTCAATATGGCGTCTATAAGAAAAAAAAAGTTGACTCTAGAGGATAAGAGACGAAACGTCATATTGAAATTCTAATCAAGCCATCTTGTCGAGGAGAAAAAGTGGCAATGGTAATGTGAAATTTATTTTGAAATGACACTACAAATATAGTCAGGATCAAATTGAAATCATTTTGGGAAATTTCAGTTTTTTCCGTCTCTCTACTTTGAATTTATTATTTTATTAGCTACATAAATACGCGACTTCGTATCTCTTACCGTTTCCGAGGGTCGAATTTAAAACTCCCACAGATTATGTTAATTAACATTCAACAATCTCTAAAAATAAATTAATCTAGTCACCTTGATATGATTCACTAATATTCAAAAACGAAACATCTCTTGATAACTCTGTTGGTATCTATGGATCTTCAGTTGTTCGGTGGTTGCTAAGCAACTTGCTTACTCCAATGTTGATGGATTATTTGGCTCACTTATCATGCTCTAATACAGAGTTCCCCAAACTTTTTTGTGTCGTAGACCTCTTGCCATGTTTTTCCGTTTTTCCGTGTTGGGTAGACCCCTTACTTACCTGATATTGATTTCCTGTAAATTTCTAACTGTAGTGAAGTTTAGTGTTAAAAACTTAAAGTAAAAACACATGTTAATTTATACATTTATTAATTGAATTTAAATTAAAACTACTCAAAATAAAATTTTGTATATGTTATGTAAAATATACGTAACATTAGATAAACAGGTGTCTGATCAATAAGTGCCCACATTGGAAATAAGTGCCCGCATTGAAAAAAAAATAAGAGGGATAAAATGAAAAAAAAGTGAAAAATAATAAAAACAAAAGTTTTTTACTTAAAATAGTACAATAAGCGAGTTCGTTTATTAATTATAACATAAACGTATGTTCTACAATAATTTCACTGTTAGTTTGATTATATTCCGCTTCTTATGCGTTTAAGTTATCTAAAAATAGGCAAAAAATTAACGAATTTTATCCTTGAATTTTCAGAATAATTTAAAAAAAATATTTTCTATAAAGGGGGGTTCTTTAAAAAAATCAATGCGGGCACTTATTCCCAATGCGAGCATTTATTGGTCAGACACCAATAAACATAAAATAAACTATAAATAAAATAACATAAGCAATAAGTCAATATTTTTAGTGAGAAGGATGAACCTGATGCTTTAATAATAAATTATCATTTGGCGTCAATTTTGTAAGGGCTAATCTTAAATCTCCTCGGCTAATGATGTCCAGTCTGTTTCTTTTTTTCGTTAGGAGATTGGTAACAGCGCTGAACCCCCTTTCCACTAGGTATGACGATGGAAAGGAAATTAAAAATTTCCTCGCTATATTCCATAATACGGGATAAGTAACGGGTATGTTGTTTTGCATCCAGAATTGCTGATATCCGTTTTTAAACTGAACCTTAAGTTCTTCGTTTGTACTTAGTTCAGTCAGTTCCTCTTGTATTATGACATTCGTTTCTTCTATGTCACCATAAGGATTAATTATCCACGGTGGTATTACCATAGTCAAAATATCCTCAAACCTAGATTCAAAATCTGAATAGAGGGCATTTAAATGTTGAACGTAAGTTGAAACGTCGTCTTCCTGGCAGCTTGTCTGTGACAAGTTGGGGAACTGAGAAAATCCGCCCCGTCCAATATTTTGCTTCATTAGTTTAACTCTGGCAAGAAACGCTGATAAGATGGACTTTGTTTTAATCAAATTTAAACTGTCGCCTTGTAATTGCAAATTAACCATATTAAATTTTGTAAACAAATCTGTTAAATAGGCGATGTCTGTTTTCCTCTTCATTAAATTTTCTTTTAAAATTTTATCTTTAGTATCCAGAAATTCTAAAATAGTCTCAAAAAGTGCAAAAAATGTTGTCAAACATAAGCCTTTCGACAGCCAGCGTACTTCAGTGTGAAGGAGTAATTGATGAAAGTGTTCGTCATTTTCTCCACACAACTGCGCAAATAACCGCGTATTCAACGCGTTGCTTCGGATTCGGTTTACTGCATCAATGACTAAATGAAGTGATTCATGCAATCTAACACTCAAATTTTTAGCAACTAAATGTCGATGGATGACGCAATATATTGCTAACACCCCTGACACATGTTGTTTTAAATAGCTTATAAATCCACGATAACGTCCAACCATGGCAGGTGCTCCATCTGTAGCTACTGATATTATATTGGATAAAGGAATTGCTTTTTCAATGAAGTAATCCTTCAAAACATGAAATATTGATTCACCTTTAGTGTCGGATATACTATCTGTTTATATTTTTCAAAATATTTTCTTAGCACTTTCCTTTTCAAGATTCAGGAAACGAATACACGTATTTGTCCCACATTCGTATTTATAGAGTGACGAATTGAACAAGTCAGTGCAAGGTAGCGAAGCTCTGAGTCTGCGACTCTCAGGTTTTTACAAGTTCAAAATGTATTGCGACCACAAAGCGAATACCAACATCCTACAACTTACACAATTTTATAAACATATATAATAAATTTTTTACTTCATAGGTACTTTTATACATATAAATAATGTATATGTTTTGATATTATAAGATAGTATGATGTAAGTAAATAGGTACTATCAGTGTATGTGTTGAGATCCACTATCGTGGACCCCCATATTCATTTCATGGACCCCCAAATTTTTTTTCGCTGACGTAGACCCCTTGCAGGTTGTCATAGACCCCTAGGGGTCGATATAGACCACTTTGGGAATCAATGCTCTAATAGTTAAAACCGCACATTTACTCGTAAAAACAGCTTAATAACATTTCGGCTACCTCGAAGAGGTTTCTTACAGTACAAAGAAAATAAATACTGTGTGTTATTTTCTAACAATTCTCTTTTGACAAATAGACCTTCTTTCCGAAGTCATATATCTATAGATTGTCAGAATCGATTAATCTAGTAACGATTATCTACGACCGGGCAGTAAAGCGTATTTTATAAATCAGTTTTGCGAGCGTTAAGTCCAACTTTTTACCTCTTTTTACTCCATACTTTTGCGACCGCTATCTTCAAGTTATCCTACGCTTATCGACCGCGAAAACTGCCCGTATTTATATGTTACTAGGCAAAGGGTACAACAGCCGACATAGGGTGATTATAGTACGGTCAGTTTAATTACTTGTATGCTCAATTAAAAATTGCTCTAAGTCAGTCGATCCTACAATTGTAGGACACGTTTATGGCCTCTTTGACTGGTAGGTGTATTTCAAGGTTTCTACAGTTCCGTATCAGCGCTCTATTTTGAGGTTAAGTTACAAATAGCTATTTCCTTAGAATTGTGCATGATTTTGATTTTTATCATCTGTTTTATCAGCCCGAGATTTCCTACAATCCAAAAAGAAAACATAACCTTACAATAGGACAGCTGATGCTGACTCGGAACAGTAGAAGTCAAGAAATGGCTTTCTGAAGAAGAGAAAAGGCGGCCATGAAGGCATCCTACAATTGCAGGAACGACTGACGATACGGATCTCAAAGCATACAAATAAATAAACTGACCGAACTATAATCATCGTATGTCCGCTGTTGTACGAGGGGGGTCCCAGAAGTACCCGACCCTACGAAGAAAACCCAGGAATTTTGTAAAAAAATGTACTTATTTTTCAACATAATCTCCTTTGAGCTCTATACACTTTTCCCAGCGATGTTCAATAAGTTAGATACCCTTTTTATAATAAGAACTGTCTTGCTCCTCAAAATAGCCATTAACTGCCGACATCACTTCTTCATCGTTGGGAAATCTTTGACCACTGAGCCATTTTTTCAAGTTTGGAAACAGAAAATAATCCGAGGGGGCTGAATCTGGTGAATACAGTGCATGAGGTAGCAATTCAAACTTTAATGCGTTAATTTTGGCCATTGCACTAACGGATTTGTGAGCTGGTGCATTGACTTGATGAAACAACCAAACGCGGCCGTTTTTGCGTGATTTCATCGCTTAAACGTTGCAATAAGTTCGCATAATACTCGCCGTTAAAATAGTTTTACCTTTTTCAAGATATTCAATGAAAATGATCTTACGTGCATTCCAAAAAACCGACGCCATAACCTTGCCTGCAGATGAAACGGTCTTCGCCTTCATTGGGGTCGGTTGTCCCTTTTGAGTCCATTGTTTTGATTGTTCTTTTGTCTTGGATGTGAAGTGATGGACCCATGTTTCATCCATGGTTATGGAACGACGCAAAAAATCTGCTTTGTTGCTGTGAAACTTCGCTAAACACTCAATTGAAACATCTTCACGACACTGTTTTCTCATGTCCAAATTTTCAGATAATATGCGATGAACCGCACTTTTTGAAATGCCTACTATGTCTGCTAGCTTTTATATTGGTTGGGCTGAGGCCTTTTTATTAAAAGTATCGTACCACATAACGATGACCAATTTTCTCCATTTTCACAAATTCACTGAAAACGTTCAGTATTGATGGCTGCCAAACAAATACTAAACAACGTGGCGTCTTTAAACTGGACACATATGCTTTATAGGTTGCATACTTCTAATACAATAATATTTTTCAAACAACTATCGCCATCTCTAGCCAGTCGTAGATAAAATTTCATGTGTCTCTTGACCGTAATAAGTGTCCCTTGTCGTATAGTATCCTCGAACGTTTGGCTCTAATCGTACGACGTCGACCATACGTATCCTGTAACTATTATTTGAACTTTGTTTCAGGTATCACCCGTGAGCAACAAGACGAATTTGCTATCAACAGCTACAAGAGGAGCGAGCAAGCTTACAAGCAAAATGCGTTTGCTGATGAACTGGTCTCTGTCAATGTTCCACAGAAAAAAGGGCAACCAGATAAGGTAAGTTCCAGATGACCATTTTGGAAAAAATATATAATTTTTTGATCATTTAAAGCATAAGTGTCTATACTACAACTATTTAAAACTGTAATGACTCATACGCGTGATCAACACGTGATCAGAGCTCGATCCCGGCTTCCTTCCAGTACAGCCGTATAGCGTACGACATATGTCGTTTCTGTGGCTTTGCGGTGGTCAACAGCACAGACAGAGATGGAAATAGTGGCTGATTGTTCTCCGCCGGTAGAACCAATGAAATCAAAGACGCGCCTCGACCGGCAGACTCATAGGCGTCGGCAACGCATTGGAACGTGTTTCGTTGAGCGATCGCATATTGTGTGTTTTTATAAGAATTGTTGTGTGATTGTTATTGTTGTGGTTTCTGTGGTTACTGTTTTGGTTATACTTAACCATGGAGAGTATAAATGGCACGAGTGGAAGTACTGAAAGCCAGGGAACAAGTAGACGGCTTCGTAAAGCACTGAAGAGGGATGCGAAAGAAATCGTACTCAACGTGTTCAATTATCTGAACAGAACTATGTCGCAGGGAGATGCACTTGCGTGTTGTGAAAATATGACAGGCGTTCCAGAGTGGACCATTCGCAGGGTGGTGCATGAAAAGATGAAAACTGGAGCTACTACTGATCCAAAGTTTAATTTGAAGGGACGAAAGGCCGTTAAATTGGATGACGATAGCAAAATGGCGTTAAGGCGAACCGTACCTTCATTCTTCTTTAGGAATGAGATACCAACCCTCAAGGCTGTACATGCAGCGATCAAGGAAAATGAAATTATACCCCAAATGAGCGTCGAGGTAATGAGGAAATCCCTGCACGAAATTAATTTTCGTTACGAAACGCGTAATCGGTAGTCAGTATTGATAGAGAGACCTGAAATAGTCGCCTGGCGTCGAAAATACCTACGCGAAATGATTGAATATAGGCGACAAAGCAGAAAAATCTATTATTTGGACGAGACATGGGTAAATGCAGGTCACACAGTTAAAAAAACCTGGATAGACAAAAACGTAGTGAGTAACCGACAAGCAAGCATTGAAGGTTTGTCAACAGGTCTTCGTGGACCGTCAGGGAAAGGTCAAAGATTGATCGTAACTCATATTGGTAGCGATAGTGGCTTTTTAGAAGAGTGTGACTTGATTTATGTCTCTAAGAAAGGAGGTGATTACCATGACGAAATGAATGCCAGCTGCTTCGAGAGCTGGTTTCAAGGGGTGCTTCAGCGAGTTGAGCCCAACTCTGTGATCGTCATGGATAATGCTTCCTACCATAGTCGTCGAGCCGAACGTGTACCGACTATGGGATCTCGAAAAAGTGACATGCAGCAATGGTTGCGCCAAAAAGGAATCCCGTTTGACGATTCATGTGTGAAAGCGGAATTGTATGAAAAAATTAAACAGCACAAACCTGCGAACATTAGTTACGTGACTGATGAGATGGCCCGTCAATGTGGTGTCACTGTGCTGCGGTTACCACCCTACCACTGTGAACTGAACCCAATAGAGCTCATCTGGGCTCAAGTGAAGGGTTATATTGCGCGCCATAACACAACCTTCAAATTACCAGACGTTAAGGTTTTACTTGAGACTTCCATACAGCTAGTAACGCCCGAAGCTTGGCAGAATGCTATCCGTCATGTTGTGAAGGAAGAAACAAAAATGTGGCAGCTTGATCACCATCATAGAGCCAGTTATAGTCAATTTCAACGAGGAAAGCGATAGCGACAGTTTATTACTGTCAGATGTAAGTGGAAGCGACGATGAATAAAGGTAATTCCCAAATTTTTGACTTACAATATGTTTCAAACCACTCTTTATTAAGCATGTGACAAATCTAGTTCACCCATGTTAAACATTCATACCCCGCCTATGAACAGCCGACTACTGGTAGTTAAATGATGTTCACGTGAACATCGATGAGTCATTACTGTTTTAGATAGTTATAGTATAGGTAAGCCCGCGGCTCCGCCAACGTGAATAGCAGACTGGTTTCGAAGAAAGAAGTGCGATATTGAGAGTAATGCAATAGTTACTGTGACAATAAACTTTTTTATCCAACATTTTAATGCAACAGTAGATTAATGTTTCGGTATTTCATATCATCGACAAAAAGTATGGAGTTTACTTGAAAATCCATCTGATCTTGAAATGACCTTGAAGGCGATGGTGAGGTTCATTGGCAAAAATATATTTAAACTTAAAATTGTCCGTAATTTGTATTTCCAGAATCAAGGATACATGTTTCCCGTTGAAAATTCATTTTGTCTTCAAATGACCTTGATCATAGACATAGTTGAACATAAAGCTTTCTGGCCTTTTTTTCGGTGTCGACAAACATAGAGAGAAGAAAACTGCCTTCACCTTTAAATGAGCTCAAGGGCATAATCAAGGTCTCGTCCAAAGTCACTATTAAATGAACATTTTTAATGCTTGCAACTTTATTACAGGACATTTTTCGAGATATTTTGCCCTTTCTCTACTTTTTGATCTACCCATACTTTTTGTACATTTTCACGGATAAAACTATGCCTATAAATTTTCTCGGGTTTCAATTAGTAAGGGCCGTATCGTCAGTCGTTCCTACAATATTGTAGGAAGCCTTTATGGCCTCCTTGATTTTCATAGTTTTCTACTGTTCCATGTCAGCACTCTATTTTGAGGTTATGGCACAAATATCTATGTGCATCAAATTGTTCATGCTATTGATTTATATCATCTGTTATATAGACTGAAATTTTCTGTAATTCAAGAAGAAAACTTAGTCTGACAGTATGAGAGCGCTGATGCTGACACGGAACAGTAGAAATCTAGAAATATCCCAGCCTTTCTGAAAGAAAAGAAAGGAAATACTACGAAAATCAAGGAGGCCATACAAGCATCCTATAATTGTAGGACCGATTGACGATACGGCCCTAAGTGTACAAATTCCTTTGTATCTCCATATTGTGGTTCAGACTTGATGTTGACAGACTGGGTAGACATTCATATTTAAATATTTAAATTTATTTTCTGTTCTTAAATCCGACTATAGTCTTTCTTTCTAACTCAAATCCGTGGCGTGTTTACTTTCGGTATTTGACCATACCCAAAATGGCGGTCAAGTACTTTACTTGTACAATTATATTCACTGAATCAAAGTAATTACGTCATAACGTCAAATAATGACAGTGACTCACATGGTTGCCACATTGATTAAAACTACTAGATCCTAGGAAATACACCACAAATAATCAACAGCTGTAATTACATAACAAGCTTTGCGACAATGTCGCGGAAACTGTTACCGACATAAATGTACCCGGGAAATTCAAACTTTACCTACTAAATTAGGATCTATTTTGGTTCAAATTTACTAAATATGACGTAACTGCTTTGTTTCAGTGTGAGAATTGTAAACCTTAACGCCGTCATCTTTGATTTACAGGTGTTCAGTGAAGATGAAGAATATAAACGTGTGAACTTCGACAAGTTCAAGCAACTGGCAACGGTCTTCCAGAGAGAAAATGGTACGGTAACAGCTGGAAATGCCTCGACGTTGAACGATGGCGCAGCCGCCGCGGTGCTTACTTCGGAAGAGACTGCTTCCAAGCTGGGACTTAAGCCTCTGGGTAGGTACATTCGGTATGCCATTCTTTCTAAAGGACCCCGCACAAAACATACGGAAAATGGATTGCATTCGATTTGTCTAAGAATTCAGTATTGTATATTTCTCATCTCCCTGAACAAGTGTTCTTTCGGGAGCAAAGCAACTCTATGATTTTCTGAGAAATAGAGGAATGAAGTTTACCGATTTGCAAAAACGTTAGATGTGTACTATTTAAATGCAGCATGTACCGAATCTAGGTGACCTTTATGAAATAACTGGTGTTATTAATATATATCACCCTCCAATTATTATCTATGGGAGGTGCTAATGCTGTATTAGTGCTTCAGCTGTTAGGAACAACACAAGGAATTGAATCACGTTTCAGAAACCTAAAGTGTTGAAGTATCTATATTTTTGTTATTTTATTTTATACAGGGTGTTCATTTGAAAACTTCCTATCACGGATCTATCGAAAACCACTGATTAAAAGAAAAAACGCCGAGACAAGTCAAAAGATTTGTCAATGACGACAACGTTTTAACGAAAAACTACTTCATCCCCTCTCACCCTCGGCCTCCCAGGGTCATTCTCATAAAGATCTTAAATGACAAACGATATCGAGTAATAGCTTGTTAGAACGGTCTTTCGAAGTCCTCTATTTTGACGTTTGATTTTTTAAAATCAGTCGGTTCATTTTCGAGAAAATTAGAAAAATCTTTATTTATCTTAAATGATTCAGATAGAAAACAAAAAACAAATAAGTGTTCAAAATGTAGCCCGGGTTTGCACGTGGAAAAAGTGATATTTTCGTGTGTTTTTGTTTTCTATCTAAACAGATTGAGATAAATAAACATTTTTCTAATTTTCTTGAAAATAAATCGACCGATTTTAAAAAATCAAACGTCAAAATAGAGGACTTCGAAAGACCGTTCTAACAAGCTATTACTCGATACCCCTTGTCATTTAAAATTTTTAAGGGGTGACCCTGGGGGGCATTGGTTGAAAGGGGGCGAAGTAATTTTTGCTTAAAAAGTTGTCGCTCTTGACAAATCTTTTAACGTGTATCGCGTTTTTCCTTTTAATCAGTGGTTTTTGATAAATCCGTGGTGGGAAGTTTTCCAATGAATAAATACCCTGTATATAGATTTCGCAACAGAAACACGATACAGTTACAGAGAAACGCTATGCAAGTGATAAAAAACAACATGCACATAAAACATATATCATTGATTAATGATACTAAACAAGCTTTTGTGGGTATATTAGAAATCCAACACTCGACTCGATGTTAGTAAAAAAATCTGCAATTTCTGATGGTGAGTCCAAGCATACGTGAAGTTGATATAAATATTTGATTCAAGTGTGCTGAAAATCGCAGGCCTGCTTTCTGTACTCTGTCAAGTTTGTGATTGTCCAGTATATAATGATATATATGTAGTATAGTAGCATCTTGTTGACAAGTATATGAAAATAACCAGGATTTACCAGATGATTATGCAATAATTAATGGCCATTATTGGAAATGAAAATCTGGCGCCCAAACCTTAGGCACATGTTATTATTTTTGGTATGCTCTCCACGAGATTGAAGTTCGTTATTCTTCGAAATAGTTGATCCAAAACGTTCGATATGCTGGAACCAGTCCAAAAAAACATTAGTGCGCTTTTTCTTTCTCTTTCGACTTCAAAATAAAGTTGGCCTTGAGTTGACCTTGTAAAGGTCATAACCAAATACAACCACAGCCGACGTCAACTACGAGCCGTGAACAAAGAAATCTGGCAACGTAGGTGGTAGTGTTACTCCCGCCGCTGCTTGCTGCATCGACGCAACTCGTGCTCAAAACGCTGAGAAAACATAACCTTTTCAATTTGTGATTTTGGAATCCCAGAGGCTGTAATTAATAGATAAGCTTGTTTTCTAAGCTTCAAAGTGTGTGTATGTGTTCAAAGTGATCGGTGACTATAATATATGAGAAATAGACTCCAGTTGTAGTGCTTCTGTGCTTTAAAAATAAACTAAGAAGTGTGACTGTGGCTGTTCGCGTCTCAGGACGCTAAGGATTTCAACTATTGAAAACGTGCAAATTCAGGTTGTATTTTTATTTTTTCATTTATCAAGTATTTGACGCAGACAATATGCCTCGTTGTTGCTGTGTTCCTTTATGCAATGCAAACTATAATTCTGCTTTGAAAACAGAAAACTATGTTTCAACTTTTCGCTTGCCAAGTACGGAAAGTCTGAAAAACAAATGGCTTATGCCAATTCCCAGAAAAAATTGGACACTTTCAAAATATTCAGCTGTGTGCAGTCGTCATTTTAGAGAATTGGATATCATCAGGACAGAAAATATAGTTTTGGCGGATGGAACAGTCCAAAATAATATACCTTTGAAATATCCAAAATTGAAAGAAAAATGCTGTTCCCTCCATTTTCCCAAACTTGCCATCATATCTTTCAGAAACTGAAGCACCCAAAAGAACTGACCCAATGCAAAGAAAACAAAAATTAATTGAGAAACATAAAAAAGCTATCCAGAATTTCGATGATATGGATAAGATCAAAGATAAATTTAGTTCAAAAATGTGGATTTGAAGTTATTTGTGTTGTGACTGATAATCACCGAATTAATAGAGCAATGTTCAGGAAATTAGCAAAGGATTCATCAGAAAATTATTCTATTCCAAATCCACATAATCCTGATAAGAACATATATTTAACTTATGATGTTGTGCATATTTTCAAGAGTATCAGAAATAATTGGATTAATTTAAAAAACCTAGACAAAACTTTTGTATATCCTAATTTTGACAATAATGATATTATTCAGTATGCTAAATTTGAAAACATTCGTGCTGTATATCAATTGGAAAAAGAAGCTGTAGTTAAGAAAGCATATAAATTAAATTATAAAACATTGCATCCAAATTCATTTGAAAGGCAAAATGTAAATTTTGTAGATAATTTATTCCATCACTCAACAATAGCTGCTATGAAAGAATTAAAGTTTAATGATGCTGCACACTTTTTGGAAATAATCAGGAATTGGTGGGATATTGTCAGTAATACAAGAGTAATAAAAGGAGAATTGAAGCGAAACGAATTTTGTAAGCCTATTACCAATAAATATGATTATAGAGTACAATTTTTAAAAAAATTCCTGATTTGGTTAGAAAAATGGCATAATCTAGAGAATAATAATGGACACCTGACACCAGAAACGTATACAGCTCTATATCAAAGCACGCTGACTCTACTTAATATAATTGAATATTCATTTAATCAATTTGACATTGAGTATGTATTGCCTGGAAAATTCACCACTGATAATTTAGAAAAACGATTTGGCAATTATAGACTTTTATGTGGCTGCAATTACAATGTGTCATATGATGAAATTTTAAATGCTGAAAAGAAAATACGGCTGAAGCATATTTTCAATGAAAAGAAATCGTCATTTTCTTTAGCAGAAATTAAAACAAGGTTCCAAAACTGCTTAGAAACTCAAGAAAATTTTGATTTCTTGGATACCAAACAAAATCCTGAAGTTTTGGATATATTCAATGAAGTATTTGAGACAAATTACTTAGCCAATTGTGACATAGAGGATAGTACTAAGACTTATATCTGGATATGCTTCATACGATATCTCTAAAAACCTGAACTGCGAGATATGCAAATCGCTAATAGTTAACCCTTAACTACGGACATGGAGTCTCGTAGACTCCGCCGCGCAAATATCGTACCGTACTCACAACAAAAAACACCCAAGGTCAACGCCGCTTCGAGTAGCTTCCGCTTTTTCACTTTGCTACAGCGTGTTGAGGTGATTACTTAGCATTTATTTTTGATTTTGGAGTTACGTACATTTCAGAGTCTGACAGACTCCTTGTCCGTGTTAACGTCAGTATAGTGATATTTTATTATGGCGACTTCTAGGCCAAGTTCTTCCAAACGAATTAATGTTTTGGATCCTAACTTTGAGGAAATTGCCATGAGATGGTTCAATGAGGTAGACAATGAAAACAGTGATATTGAACCTGATGAAAATGTGTTCATTGAGAGTGAACATGAGTCAACAAGCGAGCAAGAGGCGTCTGACGATGATCCTGATTACGAGATTGAACATGACGAAGACATGGATATTTCCAGTGGCGAAGATGATGCTACTATCGGAAGTGAACAGGTGTTAGAACCTAACAGATCAGGAAATGAACGTAAACGAGAAAATAAATACCTGTATGGAAAAAATAGATTCAAATGGAGCCGACGCGAGCCAGAACGAAGAGTACGAACACCAGCACATAACATTTTGCGACTTCCAGCAGTTCGACTAACTGGAAATTATGAAAAGAGCCCTATTAAATTGTTCAAAAAATTATTTTCTCCTGAAATGTATGACTTGGTTATAGTTTGGACAAATGCAAAATTAGCTTCTATGAGAAGAAAATACAAAAGAGAAAATAAACCGGAGCTAGCAGATATTGACAATGACGAATTAGATGCCTTTTTAGGATTGTTATTGTACACCGAAATTTTCAAAAGTAACGATGAAGATGTAAGAAGTATTTTTGCAACAGACGGTAGAGGCAGGGACGTATTCCGAGCTGTTATGTCTCAAGAGCGTTTCTCCATTTTGTTAGTGGCTTTGCGATTTGATAATCCAGAGGACAGAGAAGAAAGAAAGAAGGTAAATCCAGTAGCAGCTATTAGTGAGCTGTTTGATATGTTTTGCGAGAATGCTAGATGTTCATATACAATTGGCGCAACAGCTTGCATAGATGAAATGTTGGTGGGATTCAGGGGAAGGTGTAAATTTAAAATGTATATCCCATCCAAACCAGAGAAGTATGGGATAAAAATAATAGCAATGACTGATGCAAGAACACAGTATTTATATAATGCATACATTTATGGTGGTAAAGACAGCGATGGTCGTGGTCTAACAGAAGAAGAGAAAAAGCTCAGTAAACCATCTCAGGCAGTTATCCGGCTCGCTAAGACTATTTTTCACTCAAACAGGAACATAACGGCCGACAATTGGTTTGGATCTATGGAGCTTGCCCAATACCTATTAAAAAATGGCCTTACATTTGTGGGAACACTAAAAAAGAATAAAAGGGAGATTCCCACTGAGTTTTTACCTGCAAGAAAACGCAAATTGGGTGAAACACTTTATGGGTTTACGAAAGATGTTACAATAATCTCACATGTTCCCAAGAAAAATAGAGCAGTAGTTCTTTTATCTACCATGCATCACAGCGAAACAATCGATGAGACATCCAATAAACCTGAAATGATCGCCTTTTATAATTCCACTAAAGGAGGTGTGGATGGAATGGATGAAAAAACTGCAAAATATACATGTAGTCGCCGTACTAGAAGGTGGCCAATGGCTATCTTTTATAAACTGATAGATATTTGTAGCGCAAATTCTTTCATTATGTATTCCTCTTTCCCGGGAAATGATATAACACGTTTCAATTTTGTGAAAATATTGGCGGATCAGTTAATTGAAAAACATGTGCGTAACAGATTGGAGATGCCAATGTTACACAGAGAATTGAAACATTTAATCTGTCGCGTTTTACATCAAGAAGAGCCAACACCTGTGACTGAGGAACGCCTACATACACGTAAATATTGTTATATATGCCCCTCGAAGCTAAAAAGAAAGACTGCCTATACATGTGCGAACTGCAAAAAGCCAATATGTCTGCAGTGTTCGCGAAAATCTTGTATAAACTGTTGTCAAACTCTAGAAAATATATGAAACATTCACCTCGTGCAGGTTTTTTTATATTAAAGTTTACAGCCCTATTCTTACTATTTTACCGTTTGTGGGATCTTATAGTATAAGGTTTAAATTCAAATAACTGTTGATTTATATGTTTTGTTAATATTAGCGTTGCTTTTTATTTGTATGTTTAGCATTTGTAACAAAATGGAATGCGCCAATTATTTCGTGGTTTTTTTGCATAATTTTATAGTATTTTCAAAATATTGATAATAAACATGATGTATGAGATGTATTTTGTTTTACTTATGAAGAAAAAATCAGCATACTTTTTGTAAAAAGAAAAATGTATTGCATACATTAATAGGAGTCTGTCAGACTCCTTGTCCGTGTTAGAGGATAAAAAATGTATGTCCGTAGTTAAGGGTTAAAGAAAAAGGTTCATTAACAACAAATGTTTATTTTGATCATTTGCAAAGAGGAGGACTGTCAATTCCAACCAGTTATGTACCAATCATATTCTACCATATGTATGCCATTTTTTAATCTATTATTAATGTAGATAGATTGGAAATTTTCTTCTTGAAAAGCAATAATCAAAAATTTATTTTGTGTCAGTTAACCTTGCTCAGCATTCAGTCTGTCTTTATATACAGTGAATTTTCTTTAAGTTGCATCTGTGGCCGCAATTATGCAGATATTTTATCTAAGCTTTTGTCTATTTTTTCAAACATAATTTTGAATGATTATGTAAAATTGAAAAATAACAGTAAAACTGAAAGTAAATGTATTAAAAACAAACAGGTAACTCCACATTTCCAAGCTGGGCCTGTTGGAATACAGTGTGCTGACACCAAAAAACGTAAACTAAATACTTTTAATTAGGTTAACAGCATTAGCGACTCATATATATCACGATTATTTCGTATTTTTAAATTTTTTAGAGCTATTTCATATTCAGGCGATTTGTATCGAATCGAACTGTCCGAACGGAGACGGAGCACACAGCCGCTGGCGGCCGACGTTCACAGGTAGCACTACCATGCCGTTCGAGCGCGGTGTTGCCTTTCTTTCATCACGGCTCGTAGTTGACGTCGGCTGTGATACAACTTAACAACCACGATTTTTTCGTGCCTTGGTATGATTTTTTTAAATTCTCGAACAACTCTATCTTGCCAGATCCATTCCTGTGTCAATGTATAAAAATTAGCTTCCTCTCAAATTGACCTTGTAAAGGTCAGTGCCAAGTTCAACTTGACAGCTCCCAGCGCCTTCGAAAAATGTTTTCAAATGAATTACTTTCTTCTGTATAACAATGATCTGAGAAGTACAATCAATTTTGCAAATCGGGCAAATTTCCTACCCATATTTCTCAGAAACCACTGATACCATTGCTTTAGTCCCATGATAAATTGTGTTCAGGAAAGCGAGAAAAATATCATATCCAATTTTTTCGACTGAAATATTTTTTCCATATGTCTTGTGCGGGGTCCTTTGCGACACTTGGAAACCGGTATGATAAAAGTACTTTTTAGAGTATGTTGAGGAATGAAATTTTAATTTCTTGCAGCTAGGGTAGTGGGGTACCACGACGGTGCCTGCGAACCTGTAGATTTTCCAATAGCTCCCGCGGTGGCTATTCCCAAGCTTCTAGAGAAAACTGGAGTGAAGAAAGATGACGTTGCTTTATGGGAGATCAATGAGGCTTTCAGCGTCGTCGTATTGGCCAATCAGAAGCTTTTGGATGTCGATCCTTCCAAAGTAAGTTTAAAATCCAACGACCAATTTTTTACCATTACGATATTTTCCCAGCTCGTTCAGGCCCATAGACAAGATAAAATATGTTATCAAAGGAGAATATATAAATAGAATGTATGCAAATATGATTGAGATGTGATGTCTTATTTCATTGTATTAAACTATACTTTAGCGCATATTGCAAATATTTCGCGTCTTATTTTAAAATGAAAGATTAGGATGTAACTTGTACGAAAGTATCATTTTTTCTTTAAGGAACCCTCTGCTTGCTATTTTATAGAAATTCAAAGTTGCATTTTTCGTGGTAATACTGTGGTATAGAATACTGCTTTATAAGCTGTTTTTTTTTTTGTTTACGCAAAAGATTGCTCAAAATTATATGAATATAACATACACTGTATATTACTGTGACACTGTTCATCGCAATAATGCAATTTTGCATTATTTTAATGATGAAAATAGATCATTGTCTTTTATTTTATTTCAGATAAATATTCCCATCACTACATCACCATCACTATCATGATTCCTCTATCTAGTTGCGATGTTGCCAAATCATGGATAGTAATATACATACCTTGATTTGGTTTGTCAAATTCTTACTTATAGAACTAGCGCAAAAATGTGCAGTCGGCCCTGGATTGCCAAGAAAATGCGACATGGAGATGTGGCCGGCAGATTTTACTGTACTAAATTCACCTCGTGCCTTACAAAAGCGTTAGCTATATAAAGACACCTTTCAGCAGAATACCTTCACATAAATACTTCCATTTTTGTTTTCCTATATTATATATACTTTTTGTGTGTATGTACTTGAAGAATTATTCAAAGTGAATCTGATGTCACAAAATATACATAATTTAATGTGATATATATGAGAAATTATCGAAAAAGTAGCTGTTGCCAGTCACTAAATAATGAAAATATAACAAAGAAGAACACTGAACGTTTTTTGAGGATTTGATGGAATGATCGTAGATCCCTATTTAACTATACTGTTGGACGATTATATGTTGGGTGGACCTGGCGACGTGGTCCAAACCGACGCTGGTGCCTTTTGTATTTTTCGTCACGCGACCCGCTGGTGCTTTTTCCACTTTTTAGACACATACTGTTCAAAATTTCATCTAATTTTCAGTAAATATTGGGACAAATTCTAATAGAGCAAGCCATTTAAAATAAATTAAGACTTTAATTTTGCAAATAACCTCATTTTCTATTACGTATTTCTCTCAAAAAGCACAACTTGGCAACACTGGACATCATTTATATTATCTGTCAAGAAATGAACGTTATAAAATGGCCACTGAGAATTGCTTATACTTTCAAATATTTCTTATAAACGCAAAAACTTTGATCTCATTGAAAATACGCGAAAAAAATAGTTGAGGAATTTCAAGAAGACTTTGAAAAATTACAACACAAAACCTCTACACAGTTTACCGAGTAAATGCCATCATTTACGTAAGTATTTTGAACAGTTATTTTAGCTAATGAGCTAATGTGTAATAATAAATTTTTTTTGACAGTTTCACATCTACTTCCCTTAGTACTCTACAGTGTATGTTATATTCTCATAATTTAGAGCATCATTTTTTGCAAAAAGCAAAACAGGGAATAAAACAGTATTCTATTCTAGATTAGGTATTACCACCAAAAATGCAAGTTTGAAGTTCTATAAAATAGCAGGCAGAGGGTTCCTTAAAGAAAAAATGATATTCTCGTAAAACTTACATCCTAATATTTCATTTTAAAATAAGAAATGAAGTAATTGCGTTATGCGCTTAAGTATAGTCTTACCTTTTATTTAATAAGAATCAATTAAAAGATATACTCGCAACTGATCGTATCTTAAAAAACGTATCACTATCAAGTACGAGAAGATATTTGAGGTTATGGTCCATTGATCTTATCAGATATCTAAGTCGTGGACAGATATTTGAGGGTTTTTAGAGCTTTTGTTTTGCTGCTTCGAAATAAGAAAGCTCCGTTAGCTACCGAGAATATGGGAGGGCTTACATCGTTAAGTTATTGATAAACAACCTGTCATGACTGTCAGTAATCAGTACTGTCAATGTCAAATTGTCACGGTTCTCTTTAGTAGTTATCAAAACTCTTGTTTTTCCATCATTATTTGTTATCGCTGTCAAAAAATAACGTTAAGCCTAACGATTAGTTATTTTTGTTGGACTAAAAAGTCTCTATTAAGGGCCAAATCTTCAGTAGTTTCTACAATAATTGTAGGACGCCTTTATGGCCTCCTTGAGTTTGATAGTATTCTCTCTTTCAGAAAAGCGGGGGTATTTCTAGATTTTTACTGTTCCGTGACAGATGATATAAATTAAAAGCATGAATAATTTGAAGCAAATAGATATTTGTAACATAACCTCAAAATAGAATGCTGACACGGAACAGTAGAAAACTATGAAAATCAACGAGGCCATAAAGGCATCCTACATTTGTAGGAATAATTGACAATACGGCCATAATGGCCTCCTTGATTTTTATAGTATTTTATCTCTTTCAGATTTCTACTGTTCGGTGACAGCGTCAGTGCTCTCCTATTGTGAGGCTATGTTTTCTTTTTGAATTGTCAGAAATTTCAGGTTGATATAACAGATGATATAAATAAAAAGCATGAACAATTTGATGCAGTTAGATATTTGTAAAATAACCTCAAAATAGAGCGCTGACACGGAACAGTAGAAAACTATGAAAATCAAGGAGGCCATAAAGGCCTCTTACGATAGACGATACGGCCCTAAGCGTGGGGTCGTATTCGCCGAAAAATTCAAACTATTAACTTACCCGAGGGTTTTTTAAATAAATTATTTTTTTTAGGTTAACGTTCATGGTGGTGCTGTAAGCTTAGGACACCCTATCGGTATGTCAGGAGCACGTATCGTCATCCATTTAGTACATGCCCTTAAACCAGGCCAAAAAGGCGTTGCCTCAATTTGCAATGGCGGTGGCGGAGCTTCCTCTGTCATGATAGAGAAATTGTGAAGAAATTATGAAACACGAAGCTTTTTCTTTCTAGCTTCAATTTATGAATGGATCTTACAGATTTTTGAGTGAAAAAAAATTGTCTCGTATATGTATAATAAGCTAGCATTTAATTTGTATTTGAATTATGTTTTGCATTTTACTGTATAATCTATTATATGTTAAAGATAGTCCGTTTACATCTTACAATTTTTTACTAAGTATATAAAACCAGTATGCAATATATAACGATATAAAGGTTATAAGTGAAATATATTTTTGTATTGATTCAAAGATATAAATTAATAAAATTTCGAATTGATACTATTGTTTTATTTCGTGTCGTCATAACTCCAGAGTATGATCAACTAACAAAACAAATTTTTTTGACGAGTGACCCTATAAGGCTTTACACGCGTTGTTGCGACCTTTTTCTTATTTAGAATAATAATTTTATAGCAGTTCTTAAAAATATCGAATTTCATTTTTATAACAAAACACTTCTCTTGGTGTAGTAATTCTATGGTAGAAAATCGTGCTCTACTCTCCATCTCGTTAAAGGTCATTTTTTATAATTTCTGTAGACAGTTGATATGAGAGCTGAAGGTGAGTTGGTGTTATCCCCGTTGCTCTCGTGTGGCAGTACAGCGCCACAACCCGCGTCAGTGAAATAATTTCACACCCAGTGCTGGGAATTTATCGGGTTGTGACGTTTTTGACGGAAATCGGCCTCCCTTGGTGATTTTTGTTGTCGGAGCCTTTTTCGCACCCTCTTGAAGACTTAGCCGTTGTCACAACTACACTAAATCATCCAGCTGAGGGGAACCGTTTGCATTGATACCCCGAGGCGGTCTTTGAGTCTGTGAGGAGCAGTCCCTCATTCTGTCAACCCTCATTGTTGGAGGGTTCTACCTTCGGGTATTGAGTCTTTGTGGACAGTCCCCCCTCAGGGATTAACACTTGCCATACTACCTTGCGCGGAGACCAGAGACCTGTGCAACTATAGTAAGTACCTAGTTTTTAAACATTTATATTCAATACAGACTTTATTTGTAAGCACTTGCGAGTTATTTCGTTAACAGCCCTTTGCAGAGCACCAAAGGCGGTTCCAGCACTTGTTTCAGGTCAGGGTGACAGGATTCATGTTCAGGAAGATATTTGATGGGGGGGAGGGGATTTAAAATTAAGTCGAGTAGCCTAAATGTGATTTAACCAATAAATCAAATTTTTAAGCCACTATTATACGAAGGTGTAAAAAAAATAGCAATATAAGGGTTGTCCAAAATGGACGCAGGAAAGTAAACGTCAATTTGTCACAGACGCCATCTTTGTTTTCTGTCACCGACATGTCATTTTGTTAGTTGAATGTTTACCATTGATCGCTATGGAGTCGTATTCGATTGAAGACCGCATTAAAGTTATTCAAGAGCACTACAAAAATGGTGCAAAAATAAAAAACACGTTTCGCGCGCTTCGTGAACATTTCGGTCGCAACAACCGCCCAAACGAAACAGCCATCGGTCGTCTGGTGCGTAAATTCGAGGCAACAGGTTCTGTGGCAAATCTGCCAGGCTCTGGCCGGCCAAGGAGCGTTCGCACACCGGAAAATATTGCTGTTGTGAAGGAGAGTGTGAGAGACGATCCGAAACAATCAACAACGCGTCGATCCCAAGAATTGGGCATTTCGAGAACCAGTTTGCTCCGCATTCTCCACAAGGATTTGAATGTACACGCCTACAAGATCCAATTGACGCAAGAGCTGCGCCGGGCCGACCATTTTTCGCGCCGAACGTTCTTAGATTGGCTCCTTGAACACCGCCAAATTGATGCCAATTTTTCATAAAAAATCATGTTCAGCGACGAAGCGCATATCACTTTGAATGGGACGGTAAACAAGCAAAACTGCCGCATCTGGGCGAACGAAAATTCCCGTGAGTATCAAGAGCAGACGATGCATCCTCAAAAAGTGACTGTGTGGTGTGCATTGTGGTCAAAAGGCATCATCGGACCTTACTTTTTCGAAAATGCGGCCGGGGACGCCGTTACCGTCAATTCTGAGCGATATCACGTGATGATAGAGGACTATTTTTTGCCGCAACTTGAAGGAATGGATATGGACGATGTTTATTTCCAACAAGACGGTGCAACATGCCACACAACCAACGTCAATATCCATAGATTGCAGTCCTTCTTCGGTGATCGCGTGATTTCGCGCAGAGGAAATGTGCCATGGCCACCAAGATCGTGCGATTTGACTCCCTTGGACTTCTTTTTATGGGGATATTTGAAAAGCAAAGTCTACGTCAACAAACCAGCCACCCTCCAAGAACTCAAAAACAACATCATTGCCGAGATAAATGCCATAGAACCGACCATGTTGCAAAATGTCATTGAAAATTTCGACCATCGCGTGGACGTCTGTAAATCCAGTCGTGGTGAACATTTGAGCGATATTATTTTTCATACATAAATGGTATAAATGAAACTTCAAAATAAAGTACCCAACTTGATTTGAATATCAATCTTTCTTGTTTTAATATGCGTTTACTTTCCTGCGTTTTGGACAACCCCATATTTCGTTTACGGCTAGTCTGTCTCTGGCGAACTAAATGACTTAATAATTTTCGTTGTATTATATGGTCTAAATTTTAACACAGAGTAACTCAAAACGGAAGATCTTTGGTTTCCCTATAGAATGACACGCACATCTTGATGAGTTCGCGGTTTTAGAATTTAGGCGACGATATGTGAAAATTATTTGAGAAAAACCTATTTCCAACGACTTCTCCTTCAGGGAGCTGTTTCTCCGGCAAGAGATGTTTCGCAAATCGAGAAGATCAAATACAGTAGTTTCAAGAGTCATCCATCATAGGAAAACACCGAAAACGAAGACTACATATACCATGATCCTAATTTACAATCAAATCAATAACGCACTAACGGACATGCAGTGCTATCAAGTTATTCACTATTTTATTTATATTTGCGCCAAGCTGAACATATAGGCAACCAGACGTACGCAACCCTCTTATCTCCACGCCATCATCGATGCGCTTACAAATTGGGTTGCCAGGTGTGGTGATTTTTCACCAAATCTAGTAATTTTTACCAGTTTGTATCCATTACATATTTGCAAAAAATAATTTATTGAATTTATTAAAGAGATTCGAAAGTCATAAATATCAGTGGTCAAACTAGATTCGCCTAGGGGGAGGTCATGATCCCCCTGGATTCGCGCTTGCAACGCACTCGCGAGAGTCTGCTCAGCCCCCACTCCCAATCGTGACATATTGACTCACGTTTTTAATACCATTTATTTGGCATTTTTACGCTTTTTACTTCCCACGCCTACTGGTTGAGGACGAATTGTAATCGCGAAAAAATTCGAAAATGATGTATTATTTTTTCGATGTTATTGACATGTACATCACGTAAAACCATGTCACTCATTTTTGTCGGTCGGTTTGTCTGTCTGTCCGTTAATCCTTCCCCATCTATAATTTGGAAAGTACCGATCGTACATATACCTAGAAAATGTTTGTAATAAATTCATTATTACTGGTTGTTTTTTAGCATATTGATTAGATATAGTGTATTGAATGCAGGATTAGTTCTAGTATCTAATAAAAGTTTTATGCAATATCTAATCTTATCAATCTATCAGCACTTTCAATTTAATGTACCCACCCAGTAGTCTTTTGTCTAATTCGGTATAGTTGCATTATTCTATTTCAGCAGGTGAGAAATATTTGTTTTGCTATCGCTAGAATATCCTATCAAAAATGAAATCACTATGCATCTTTCCAACATCCTTTATTGAACACAAAAAAGCGTTAAGACAACTTCGATATTCTATATTTTTTCACATCTTTCATTGTTAATGCGTATAGTGTTACTATTCCCAATTGAAATAGCAAAAAGCCCAGTTGGTCTGATACATGAGTTATATCAGCCGTTCCTGCTGATATGATAGGAATACTGCCGACGATGCTACTAATTTCCTAGAAGACCTAGAGTTTACTTTATTGTTCTCAACACATTTTACAGTCAGTCAGATTTAAGCCTTTGTACTGTTAACATCATAATAACATTGTAATAATTTTGTAAAAGTACAGTTTTGAGTTTTGTATTTTCGAAAAATAAACTTTTTAAAAAGCGATCTCGAAGCATCGATCTTATAACTGGCGCAGTCAATCCAGTAGGATCAGAAATACGCGACCCGGGAAAGACTTTCGCAAACCGTCGCGACGGGACTTTTCGGGACTCTATCCGGCCCTTTTGGACTTGTTGGCATTCGTGTAGTGGCAGTGAGCACTGGAGTGGATTCATATTTTTGGATACCCAATCCATCGAGGAACCGGCGTGAACAGCTACATACGAAGGGCATCGGAATTTGGGACCACATTGCCCAAGTTCGCAAGGATTCCAGCCTGGGGAAGACAACATTGCAGAACCAGCTAGGATCTTTATAGGAGTAAGAGATGCTAAAGATCGCTTTCTTAGTGTTGTAAGTGCAGTTTATTTTTTTTCCATTTATCGCTTCAAATTTCAATGAGTATTGATATATCGCAAGCCCTTGAGAATTTGGACCTTAATACTGACTCTCCAAATACTCGACGGTACTCTAATATACTACGTGAGCCCATACTTTCACAAGTCCCTGTACATTCAATACCTACAAGTATTACTACAACTATGGCTACTTTTAGGCCCGAATACTTAAGTTGTGTGCCCGAATTTGACGGCAACAGTAACGATCTCAATCGATTTTTGCGTGTAAGCAAATCCTTGATTGACAATTTTTATGATCATTCCAATCCAAACAATTTTCAGAATACATTTTTATTGAACTCCATTCTTTCAAAGCTGAGAGGACATGCCAAATCTTTAATAAACATTCATTCAGTGAACACCTGGAGTGAACTCGAAACTTTATTAGTTACTAGTTTTTCTGACCAACGTGATGAAGTGTGCTTACATAGAGACCTTTGCTTACTAAAGCAATATCAAAATGAGAGCCCTCAAAAATTTCACGAAAGATGTTTGCATATTTTAAACAATCTGTGTAGCTACGTTAATATCCACGAAGCTACCGAAAGTGGTAAAGCAATAAAACGCGATTTGTATCAAAAACTTGCGTTAAAGACTTTCCTTTCAGGCTTGAAAGAACCATTGGGCACCACTGTCAGGTGCATGAAACCAACCTCCTTGAGCGAAGCTCTTCAATTAGTGATTGAAGAACAAAATGTGCATTATTTCCAAAACGTTTCATATAGAGTTAAGACAGATTCACAGAATTTTACAAATTTTCAAAATTCGCAGTTCAGACCTGCACGCCCAGTTAATATGCCTTATCAAAATTTTAATTCTCGTACGCCTAATAGCTTTTTCCGTACGCAATTCCCATCTCAACCCATCCAAATTCAACCTAGGCCAAACTTAAATCAGCGTTTCCCGACTAACGCTGAAGTCTTTGGCAACCAACAAACAAAGAATCCGAATACAAACGTTTTTAAGCCCAATTCTTCAAATCCAAGAAATCTTCCAAGGCCGACACCGATGAGTGTCAGCACAAGAAACACAATACGTCCACCATTCGCTCCAATTCCGGCGAACACACCTCGACCTCAGCAAAATTTTATCTTTGAGGAACTGTATAACACCGAGTTAAATGATAACGCAACATATGAAACTTATGATACAGGCAATTTTGCTACTAACGTCGAAAATAATTACGATGAATTCTATGATGACCCCAACCAAAATATTTGTCAATACGATCATTACAATACCGATCAAAATAATGAACTTGACATGCCCAACCCAACCTCGACGTCAGGAAATGAAAATTTTCCCCCAGCCAGCCAGGTTATTCAACCGACATAAACAGTGAAATTATATCGTTCAATGCTAGCAACACAAAAGGATTGAGCTATATAGTTTTTCCCGAATATGACATAAAACTTTTGATTGACTGCGGGTCTACTAGGTCATTTATAGATCCAGACATCGCATTCAAATATTTTCCACAACAAATCAAAAATGAACCATTCATTGTTTCGACTGTATTTCAGAAATCCGCCCATAAATTCAGTACTTTAATACCAGCATCCAAAATTTTCAATTTGCCTCATCTAAAGGAATTAAAATTTTACTTGTTCAAGTTTCATGATTTTTTCAATGGTTTGATCGGTATGGATAACTTAGAAGAATTACAGGCAAGACTCTTATTTCAAGAAGGGTTTCTTGTGACACCGTATGCAAAAATCAAGTTGCTTTATCAAAAACCTAAGAATAATTTGAATTTTGTTACCATCGAACCTCGCACTGAGCTTGTCATAAAAGTTAAAACATCCATAAGCGATGGCGAAATTATTATACCCCACCAAAAAATCCATAATTGTGAAATACCGGAATGCTTGACTATTGCGAAAGATAGTTATGCTTTGACGACCTTACTGAACAATACGACAGATACCGTTACACTCGACTTTTCTGAACCCCTTTCTGTTGAACCATTTTACCAGTCTATACATCCGACGATATGTCAAGAATTTGATCTTAATAATATCAACGATTCTCCAGAAAATAAACTAGACTATTCCAAAATTAGAGTAGACCACCTAAATTCAGAAGAACAGTCCGCAATCCTCAAACTTTGCAAAGAATTTTCGGATATATTTTATCGTGAAGGCGAACCACTAACTTTCACAAACAAGATAAAACATCAGATTCGAACTACTGATGAGATCCCAATTTATTCCAAGACCTACCGGTACCCCTTTGTTCACCGACAAGAAGTAAATGACCAAATCCAAAAAATGTTGAAATCGAACATTATTAGGCAAAGTAATTCGCCATATTGCTCGCCCATTTGGGTTGTGGCTAAGAAGATGGATGCCTCTGGCAAACAGAAATGGCGCGTCGTAATAGACTATCGTAATCTTAACGATAAGACTATTGATGACAAATATCCACTTCCCAATATAAACGACCTGCTGGACAAACTAGGAAGATGCCACTATTTCAGTACGTTGGATCTTGCTAGTGGTTTTCACCAAATAGAAATGGACGAGAAAGACATTGAAAAAACAGCATTTAACACCGAAAATGGCCATTGGGAATTTTTGAGAATGCCGTTTGGTCTTAAAAATTCACCAGCCACGTTCCAACGAGTGATGGACAACATCCTCCGAGGAATTCAAAACGAAAAATGTCTCGTTTACCTCGATGACATTATCGTATTTTCGACGTCTCTTCAAGAGCACTTAGAAAGGCTACGATCTGTCTTTACCCGACTACGCGAATCTAACTTTAAAATTCAGTTAGATAAATCCGAGTTTCTAAGAAAAGAGGTTGCATACCTCGGACATATAGTAACTCCTGAAGGCGTGAAACCTAACCCCGACAAAATCTCAGCAATACAAAATTTCCCTATACCAAAAACTAATAGGCAAATAAAAAGCTTTTTAGGACTCTTAGGCTATTATCGGCGATTTATTCCAAATTTCGCTCAACTCACGAAACCTCTCACTAAGTGCCTCAAAAAAGGTGCAAAAATTGTTCACGACGACGAATTTGTATCATGTTTCGAAAACTGTAAGACATTACTTACCAACGACCCAATACTTCAGTACCCAGACTTCACAAGACCGTTCAATTTGACAACTGACGCAAGCAATGTAGCTTTAGGTGCAGTTCTTAGTCAGGGTCCAATCGGTAGTGATTTGCCTGTAGCTTATGCGTCACGAACCTTAAATGATTCGGAAAGAAATTACAGCACTACCGAAAAAGAGTTGTTAGCTATAGTGTGGGCTACCAAATATTTCAGACCTTACCTCTATGGGCAGACCTTCAATATTATAACAGATCATAAACCCCTCCAGTACCTTTATTCATTAAAGGAAGGCGTCTCCTCAAAATTAATGAGATGGAAAATGAAACTTGACGAATATGATTACAAAATCATCTATAAAAAAGGCAAACTCAATACAAATGCTGACGCTCTTTCTAGAATCGAAATTCATACTAAGGAAACTAACGATTTTTGGGAACAACTCGACGACTTCCTTGGAGAAGCCTCCAACTATCAGAATCAAAGAATTACCTTTGTAGATCAAAATTTAAACACACCTCCCACGACACAAGCTAATCCAAATTCCCCACTGATAATTCAAAATATTAGCTACCCCAATTTAAACCCTGAACTAGACGATATCTCAATGATTGTCAACTTGGACAATGAAACAGATCAACCTGACTGTCAGGAACTTCCTACCGTTGACAATACAAATACTGACGAAGATATAATCAATGAAACAGAACAAACTGACTACCACGAACTTCCTTTTGTTATTGACAAAACCAATACTAATGAAGACGAACTTGACAAAGATGATGAAACCCGGCACTCTAATAATCAACACCCGGTTGTTACAATTCCTATATCAGACCAACCATTGAACTTTGGCCAAAATCAGATCGTAATTAAAACGGTCCTGCACTCTCCCGCCAAGCCGAAAATCATAATTTTATTCGAGAGAAAACAGCGGCTATTAGTGCAAATTTCAAAGAACAACCTTGAATCAGATGTTGTAAATTTTGTCAAGGAATATATTGTACCCGATGTCCCATACTATATATATTTCGAAAATCCTGACATATACGAACCCTTCTCAGGCGCTTTACAAAAGTATTTTAAATGGCCCTCTATCAAGTTTAAAAGGTGTCTTGAAAAACTTCTAGACATCACTAGTAATGATGAAATTAAAAGTTTAATACAAAATTATCATGAAGGGAAATCAAATCATCGCGGGATCGATGAAACCTATTCTCGCTTAAAACAAAAGTACTATTGGCCAAATTTGAAAAGTTCCGTTCAGTCATACATAAATGACTGCGAAATCTGTCAACAAGCCAAATACGAGAGACACCCTGTTAAAGCGCAAATGAATATCACTCCCACTGCTGTGAAGCCATTTGAAATAATTCACATGGACACATACACATTTGAAAAATCTAAATTTTTGACCATTATCGATAGTTTTTCAAAGTACGCTCAAGCTTACCATCTCAATTCAATGACAGGTACCGAAGTAGCTGACAACCTTATCCGATACTTTTCCCATCATGGAATCCCGACACAAGTTATTACTGACAATGGCACCGAGTTTAAAAACTCAGTCATATCCGAGTTATTAGGTTTACATGGAATCGAAATACATTTCTGTTCCCCGAACCATCCCCAGTCAAATGGCGTAGTCGAAAGATTTCATTCGACAATATCTGAGCAACTCCGAATTTTAAACACTCAAGGCTTTCAAAAAACATCTGTCCAAATGAAAATGATATACGCAATCTTAGCATACAACAACTCTGTTCATTCTGTGACTAAATTAAAACCCATCGATGTCATAAATGGTCATCTCAGTGAAAAAGATACATTTGACATCAGCTTAGACCAAATTTTGTTGAATGATTATGTAGAACAACACAAAGCACGCAGTAAGCTATTATATACCAAAATCAACGAGGCGCTTGTTCAAAATAAAGAAAAAGTAATTGAAAAGGCAAACATAGCTCGAGATAGTGCAAAAATATTTCAACCAGGTCAGAAAGCATTCGTTAAGAAAAATATACGTCAGAAAAATGCAAATAAATTCCAAAAATCATGTACACTAACATCAGTCGATCCTGGTAAAAAGACCGCTACTACTGATAAACACAATAAAGTACATATCGATAATTTGAAGCGTCCCCTTCGCAAACCATATTCATTTAGCAACTAAATGTTTCTCTCCAAGTACGACATACATACATGTAGGTATTATTCATTTGCAGATTCCTGCAAGTAACGGTTGGACTTCAGGATAGCATAACTATACGTAACCTCGACAACAATCCAGGACTACTTCCCGTGGAAATTGGTGAAGCAAAAGTAAAAGACTATGACTTTTCACTCATTCATTATTATGATATGAATCCCATCATTTCTGAAATTGAAAAATTATCAATTTCCTCCTCACGTATAGCAGAAACCATTTCTTCAAATTTAAATGTCACTACATATTTGTCCAATTATTTCAGAACATTAAAATTTGTTCAGCGACAGGTAGAACAAAAGTTACATAATATATTTCCCCATACAAATCGAGGAAAAAGAGGCATATTAAATGGCATTGGGTCGATATTCAAATCAATAACTGGAAACCTTGACGCCAATGATGGCGAACGTTTCGAAAATCTAATTCGAGAGCTTCAAAATAATCAAAGAGAATTGACTAACAGTGTCACACAGAATAATGCACTGTCAGTATCTCTTATTGATAAGTTCAATAAAACTGTTCAGCAAATCTGTCATAATGAACAATTGCTGAATAATAAAATTAATACCATATATGCAATTGTTCATCGTACTACAATCGATTCAGATCAGCATAAATTCATAGTAGACACAGTATCTCAAATTATGAACAGCTACGAAGTAACTCTGTCAATATTACAAGACGTTGAAAATTCAATAATTTTTGCACGTCTTGGAACAATTCACTCTAGCATTATTACAACCGAAGAAATTTTTGGTGAACTGAAACTATTGAGCTCAAGATTGGGCCAGGAAAAATTTGCGATTCCAGTTTTACTAGATAACATACCAACTTTTGAAAAAATAATCAAAATCTCCAGTTATTCCGTGGGCAACAAAATTACATTCGTTTTATCATTCCCAATCTCGTACCATGAGTCATTTAACTTATATCGTCTCTTTCCAATCCCGATATATTTTGAAGGTCAATTTAAGACTATCATTCCAAAGGAGCCTTATTTGGTAAAAAATGAATTGCACTTTGCACTTTTCGGCGACATTTGTACTGAAATTACTCCTAAAAAGTTTCTCTGCGAGAAGACCATCTTGCGAGACATTAATGGTCCATTACCCTGTGAACTTGAACTATTCAATGGAAGAAACGCCCCTGCATGTGCCCGAACTCCACTGATAATCAATCAGCCAAGTATCGAACGAATCCAACGGACTAATCAATGGGTATTGATCCTGCCACTACCAGAAGTTATCAAAATGGAATGCCACGAAGAAATTCAAATGAAAAGATTGACGGGAACTTACCTACTTTATATTCCTGTCAACTGTCAAGCCGAAATTAATCACCAAATCATCAAAAATGAACCCGAAACGATTGTCGCGGGCCAACCTATAATATTCCCGGATTTAAACCTGGACACTAAAGGCGACATCACAGAAACAAATTTCAGTCTGCATCTAGAAAAAATTAAGCTAGACGAGTTAAGTAAAATCAAGTCAAGCATTATCAACAACAAACCCAACTTCAAAAAACCTACAGAATTTTTTATACCCTGTGCCTGGACACTGATAATATATGGATGTATATTACTCTTGGGTGTCTACGCATTCTGGAAAACCATTTTGAAGAGGAGAAATAGAAGTATTCAACAACCAGAAGTCGAACTTCATCCTATTCAACTTCCTTGAAGAATTCTTCCCCGAAGTTGAATCTCAGGGGGGAGGAGTTATATCAGCCGTTCCTGCTGATATGATAGGAATACTGCCGACGATGCTACTAATTTCCTAGAAGACCTAGAGTTTACTTTATTGTTCTCAACACATTTTACAGTCAGTCAGATTTAAGCCTTTGTACTGTTAACATCATAATAACATTGTAATAATTTTGTAAAAGTACAGTTTTGAGTTTTGTATTTTCGAAAAATAAACTTTTTAAAAAGCGATCTCGAAGCATCGATCTTATAACTCATGAAAGGGAACTACACTTATTACCCTCTATACAAATAGAATTTAATATGTCAGTTTTTTTTGGTACTATCCTCGGAGGGTGGTTCCAGACGATTTTTAAAGCCTTACAACTGTGTATTTCGCCGTCTAAAAAGGGATCTGAAAGATAGTTTTAAAGTTAGAGTGTTTGGGTCTGCCACTGTCTCATAGATGTATGTTTTCATTAGGTATCTTTAGGTGAAAGATGATAATCAGTGCTAATCAGGTCAAGGGCGTACCCAGCTCAAAACAAGAGCGGGGCAGCTTCAAAAAAGTATTGGTGGAAGTTCCTCAAATCGTATCTAGTTTAGTATGCTTGATAGTTTTCTTCCTATTTCGATTTCTATGTCTCATCCATTGATTCAGAGTCTTCCAAGATGACTTTAGAGTTTATATTGATGTGGAAAACTACTAGGGTTACCTTTTTGAAACCTTTACGCAAATATTGCGCGTGATGCTTTTTCAAGTAATAATTTAGTCGTTTGTAATACTTTGAAGTAACACTTGACATATACAGGGTGTCCCAGAAGTCGACGTCAAGCCGAAACCGGGTGATAGGCAAAGTCATAACAGCTATCAGAAAAATATTTAAAAAATTTTTATGTATGTGTTTTGAAAATTATGGGTCTTTGAAAAAGATATAGAAATTGCACACCCTACGGCAGTCTGTCAACTCCTGTTACTACAAATATTAACTTTTTTTGGATTTTATTTTTACAGTGTAATGATGAATAATGCATCTTCAACCTGGTGTCTCAACCTTACTGCCAACTTTTCTCGTTCAGGAAAAATTGCCACTTATTTCCCAACCAAGTATTCCAAAGTAAAACTTTGATCAACTTTAACTGGCTGTACTGGAAAAAAATGTACTACGAGAGTTTGGCAAGTAACCTTAAAAGTTGGCGCATTTAATAAGGATTCCAAAATGGTATAACACTTAGAAGATTACTCGTTAACTTATGCACAATTTTTATTTGAAGAAAAACTGATGAAAATTTTTCAAAATTTCCTAATTAAACAGCGATTATGAAAACGCACAAGGACCCTTAAGGATAACTGTTTGCACAACAGTGGGCGTCAAAATGCTGCTGATGATGATTTACCTTTACAGCAAATGCTCAAACTGTTTTCCTTCAGCCGCAGTACATGCTCCACATCTTCTTAAAAAAGATCGGGTTATTACCAGACCGCCCTATCCATCTGCCTGGAAAGTTTTGATCGAGATACTCTCTCAGTGAGAGTGCATAGTGCGCTGGGCAGCCATCATGCTGAAACCACATGTCCCTGTAAATACTCAGTGGCACGTCCTCCAATAAATTTTCTAAATGATTTTGCAAAAAACCTAAATAAACCTCAGCAGTCAAAGTCTCTGGGAACTCAAACGGACCGATTATTTTACCATTTAAAATTCCTGTCCAATGGTTTATCTTGAAGTGATATTGAGATTTATCTTCTCTCATCAAATGTGGGTTTGCTACGTGCCACTCGTTAAGTTATGCAGGTTCATGTACCCATCTTTCTTAAATGTGGTCTCATCTGACCATAAAATTTTTTCAAAGAACCGTGGATCTTCCCTGTGTCTTTCTAACATTGTGCGACAAAAAGCAACTCGGGGCTCATAATCCCGGGGCAGAAGAGCTTGAACACGCTGTACGTGGTATGGATGGAGCACGTTTTTTT